TCGAGGCCTGAAATTGGTCGTATTTGATGAGGAGCATGTGATTTGTTATAATGTGCAATTGTTTTTATTGTTATATTCTTTCCGAGAAAAAAAATACAAAATAAATTTTAAATTCACTTTTTTATATTTATTTAAATATTTATTATTGATTTTATTGCATATATAAACATTTTATGATTATTTTTTTTACATTTATGTGCGTTGACTTCTTTATTTGAACTCGCTAAAAAAAATCATAATATTGCAAAAATAGCTAACGTATCAAATTTGTAACTTCTATAGATTTCTCTTAGGGTCCCTAGCTTACCTTTGTATACTTATGCACTTGACAGACAAGTATTTATAGATAAATGACGCTCTTAAGAGATATTTTGAAATGTCTTCTTTACTTGTTGATTTCTTATCTCTTAATGTTTTCTTATCGAACGTTAGCTTTTGGCATTTTCAAGTCGCATTCACAAAAATTGTTCAAATCGAGCTGAAGTTTTTGATTGTTTGAGCAGCCGCTAAAACACTTGACTTCAGTTACACACACACACACAATCATACACGCACACAGATGCGAGTAAAAGTTTCATCTGAGATGCTTTGCGGCGTACTTGAAGCAACTGAATGGAATTATAATTATAGTTTACCCAACTTCTTGGGGCATTGGCTCAAAGCAGCTTTTGGAGCAAAGTGAATTGAAATGAATTGAAAAATGATTGTCGATTATCGTTTTTTTTTGTTCAAAACGGAGCAATGACAGAGTACATAAGACGACGACATGAATCGCCTAAAAATATATATATATATATATATGTATATATGGGTCTTTTCATAATACATTTAATATATTATTTAAGGCATCGTCTTAATTTCCTTCATAAATTTACATTCACTTTTTTGAGTAAATGTGACTTGCAGTAGTCATGCTTAATAAGGCCCTGAACTCGTTTCTAAATGACAAAGTTGAACAAAATGGCTTTATATATAAGCTATATCTCTATATATGCAGCTGAAACTCTAATTGTGATTAAGCCATGCTAAATTCTGTATGATATTTCAATTTCGATTTCCTTTCCAGAAAGTTCCGGTGTGCCTCAAACAGTTTATAAGGGTAATCACAAAAAATATACAAAAGAATGCCTAATCATATTCGACAAGGAAACGGGTGCTATCACACTAGAGAAGCTAAACCACAATATACAAGTGAAGAAGACAAGGTAAGTCGAAACATACATAATTTATTTAAGAGCTGAATTAAAGAGTCTAAAACAATTTTGTATTCAACCAACAGAAGCGAAATGACAAACAAGCCAAGCTTGATGCCTGCTACAAATGCTGCACCCATGTCCTCTGGCCCGAATGGCGCGCCAATGCCGTCCGCGGCAATGGCTGGCACAGGAAATAGCACCGTGCGCATAACATCGAAGACGAAAGTGTCGACGGGCAGTCGCCGGAACAACATAAGTGAGTGAAATGCATATAACATTGCCTTAAAATTGGCCTAACATTGCCTGGAATTGATTTGATACTTCTTTTCAGTTGATTTTAAGCCACGCAATTCGCCCATGCAGCAGAGCTCACCATCACGTCCAGTTGCCTCACATCGCAGTCCGCAATCGGCGCCGGCGTAAGTACTGCATACTCTATATATATTTCCAATTCACATCTATATCTTTGCTGTTTAGCTGGCATGCCAACAATGCCCAGCAAACATTGCCCAGCATACCTATGATAATGGACGATGATGACTTTGGCTTGAGTGCAGCGCTGCACAATGGCAGCGGTGGCGGCCAGGCGAATATCTCGGGTTCCTCCACAGGCTCCTCAGTTGGCCAGCCGGACTTTGGCTCAGTGCACATGGGAAAGCAACGGCAGGCGTCGAACCAAGGTCATGCCAAGCGGCAGCAGCAGACGCAACGTTCAAGTCCTCCCATGCAACAGCAGCAACAGAATTATGGTCGTGGCGGCGCCAACAACAACTACGCACAGCAGCTGCAGCAGCAGCAGCAGCAACAACAGCAGCAGCAACAACTGCAGCAGCAACAGCAGCAGCAAATGCAGCAACGCGCATCATTTAGCCATAGCAATCATAGCAATAGTATGCCCTTGGATTTGGATTCGCCCAGTCATCATGAGCAGGCGGCGCAGTCTATGGCCCAGGCAGCCGCCGTGCTGGAACAGGTTGGTATCTGCAGCGCTTGCCATCGATTGTTCTTAAACAATTTCAATTACTTTGCAGCAAATTGGCGGCGAACTGAGTGCATCCAGCTCGAGCTCAGAGTCTGAATCCAGCGACAGCGACAGTGGCAGCGATTCTGATGACAGCACCGAGGATGATCGTTCCATGCACCAGCAGCAACAGCCGCCAGGGCAGCTATCGCAACATCATCATCATCATATGCAACAGCAGCAGCAGCAGCAGCAACACATGAATCAGCTGCCTAATCTGGGACTGGGTTCTATATCGCCCGCATATAATAGTCATCATCATCATCATCATCATCAACAACAACAGCAACACCAACAGCAGCAGCAGCAGCAGTCGCATCATCATCATCACCAGCAGCTGCAGCAGCAGCAGCAACAGTCCGGCATTTATGCATCCAATGGTGGCTTCCCCAACGACTTGCTACAAAACGATCTGCAATTGTCCTCAAATTCGTCCGACGATGATGATTAGCCTTTTTTAAATAGTAAACCATTTAGTTGTAATCTATATATTGCCTTCTTTGTGGACTACTTTGAACAACAGCAACCAACGACCATAAGCAAATATCAACAAAAATCATTATGCAGTGAAAAGAAGAAACAATATTCATTATTGATATTCATTCTCTCTGCGCTTAATTAATTTGAAATTATTATTGAATGGTGAATTTAATTGCTAGTGAAATTTTTATAAATAAATTTTTAGTTCTATGGTTACACATGCAGACACACAGACACATACACATATGCATATACATATACATATACATAGACATATAAATATATATATATCTATAAAGCTAAAGCTAAACTAAACGATAATTTTTAAAGATTATTTTTAGAAAAGCAAACAAATGTGCTGGAGAACATTGAAAGCAAACAAACACCACAACCACAATGTAATTCGTAACTGTAAATGCTAAGCGTACTTTTGCCAATATTTCAATGTACATTCGTTTTAAAATTAAATCAAAGGTTATGTGAACAACTTGGCAGTCCAACAGCAACAACAGCGACAACAAATTATTTAGTTTCTAATTGAATATTAAAGTGTGTATATGTATATATATATATATATTATACATGTACGCGAAATGGAACGATAACAAGAGATGACCAGAGCGGATTTTTGCCATTAATTACGCATTTTAGTCTAAGCAATTTTTCAGCTAACATTTTAGATTTAACAATTTTTGACAAACAAACACCAAAAGAGACGGACAAGAATACAATCTACATAATAAATAAACAAATAAACCTAATATAAATAATTAATTATATATACTATGTAAATTAGTTTATGCTATGTAATCATTATTATTAGAATTATGAATTTTTTTCTGTTCTTTTCTTCGATCGTTTTAGTCAAGTAAATTTAAATATGCGATTACTTCATTGTCATTGTTATTGCGCAATAAAAGAAAAGTTTATGTTTAATTTTCAATTAGTTTTGTTAGACGATATTGCGAAAGTATTTAGTAATTAATTGCTAGCGTGCGGTATGAAGACATCTATCTATGTTCTTAGCTCATGTTTTTATTTGAATTTATTTGTAATTTTTTTTAATTAATTCGTAATTAACTATTATTATTATTATTATATTATATTATAATTTTGTTATGTGCTTGAAAATTAGTTTGAATGCAAAAGCAATGAATTGTGGAAAAATAAATATGCATTGAAAGAACTCATAATTTAATTTCTTAGTTTTTTTTTTTAATTATTTAAATTAGTTGTTATTATTATTTTTATGATTGCTGCAGTTTGGATAATAATGCGACTCCTTCCAATAGAGAAATGCACTAAAGAAATGAATAATAAAATATATGATTAACATTTTTGTTAACATTTTACACTAATAGCATTTAGTTTTCCTATACGAAAAAGCATTTGTAAAGAACCATCCAGAAGAAAAAGAAGAAGATGAAAATGAAAAACAAACGACCAACAGTTGAAACGTCTACACATAAAAAAAGAAGAGAGAATAATAGAATTATTTTTTTAAATGAATTAAATTTATGAAATGTTGACAAACATCTATGTTTGATTTCAAAGCCATAAATATTTCATTTACAAATAATTTTTACGACACCAAAAACAAAAATAAAAGCAAGCAACAAAAAGTAGAAGAAGAAACTGATAATTGATTCTGATAATCATAAGCACAATGTATGTTGATCTATACAGCGTAGAGAACTAACTAAAATTAACTTTTAATAGAGAAAGGAAGAGAGAGAGAGAGAGAGCGAGCAAAGGGAATACTCTATAACAATGAAAAATCAAGCAAGTAGTTTAATTGATAAGCAAATGTACGCTATATATATATATATATAAATAAATATATATATACTATAATGATATACACATATATTCATACAAGCATACCATACGACCATAATGATAATGATAATGACAATGCGATACCCAAGACCGATAACACTCGGCTCTTGTAGCAGTTGAACTAGTTTTAATTACAAATACAAACAACAAATCAACCAATACAATGATGACAAATGCAACGTTATGTAAATAGTTAAGAGCAAAAATCGTACAGACAGACGACACACACACTCAAACACTCATGCACACATACAAACACACAGAGAGAGTACATGCCCTTGAAAATGCCTTTACCATGTAAATAGAAGAAATGAAGAATGAAGAATCAAGAGAGTTACACAGCCTCGGCTGCCGATTACATTTAAATAAAGTGAACGAATTATGTATACAATTAAAATAGCATTTATTATTAATCCTTTTAATCCAGACCTACACATATACATTAATACTGACAATATATATATTCACATTGTAGAATCTGAGATCCTGTTGGCACTGGTTGGCGCCACTACCTTCGGCTTAATGATCACAAATCGGCAAACTAACGCCGCATCTATCATCATCACCGCAGCGGAGTTGTCAAACATGTTGCAGTAGTTGGGCGCCGAGAAGACTGTGACCAGTCTGCGTCCGGCAAAGAATTCGTATCCGTCTTCGACCACCTGATGGGCGCGCACCATCAAATTGAAATTGTGCGCCTCGAGAAAGGCGTTGACAATGTTGGCGCCAAAGGTGAAGCTGACGCCGCGATCATTTTCACCCCAATTCTCGATATTGTTATCGGGATCCGCCCAGAGCAGATCGCAGAGCAGTCCGTGCGGCGGCACTTCAATGGGTCGCGGTATTTGACGTATGACACTGACATCATCGAGATCCGGACTTAGCCCTCCGTGACAGCAGAAGACTTTGTTCTCGATAATGGCGGCCACTGGCATACAGTTGTAGCAGTCGACAAAGGTGCGCCACAGCTTGATGCTGTAGCGGCGCTTGCACTCGTCGAAGAAGCCGTAAATGCGATTCACTTCACTCGACTCGTGATTCCCGCGCAACAAGAAAAATGTCAACGGATATTGGATTTTGTAGGCGAGCAGCAGCGTCAGCGTCTCAATGGACTGTTGTCCTCGATCCACATAGTCGCCGAGAAACAGATAATTGGCTTGCGGTGGAAATCCGCAGCTCTTGAATATGCGCAGCAAATCCTCATATTGTCCATGTATGTCGCCGCAAATCTTAATGGGTGTACTTAACTCCAATAGCATTGGCTGGCTGAGAAAGAGACTACGCGCAGCCATGCACACATTCGTTAAGGTCTTTTCCGATAGTACGACGCCAGCTAGGGGCGTTTTATTGGTCGATAGCTTCAGTATTATTTCTTTCAACTCTACTGGGTTCACTTCTGTGGTCCTAGTAACGGACGTTATACGGTAAGACATAATTTTAGTATACTCTTACAACTTGATTTTGAAACGGTTTCTTATTTAAAATGGCCCGAAAACGTTGCACAGCACTGATTGTAGTGCATGAAATCGAAACGGCAGTAGAAACACACAAATCCCTATCGATATTTTTTAAATGCCTATATGTACATATATCGATATAATTTGTAAACACACCGCTTGCTGCGTGCGCCAGAAAATTGACATTTTAAAACGAATCCATTGGAAGACTCTAACATGATACCAATTGGCAGCAATGATAATGATGTAATTAAAAAAAATGCATTTTTATATTTCATAGATTTAAGAAAATAATACCGGAAGCTGCAAGAGATGAGCAGCTCTTGCTTTTCGCAGTTTTTTCGTTGAGTTGCGTCATCGGCTGTTTAATGGCAAACAGCTGATTAGAATTTCGGCAAACAGCGTGTTTTTTTTCTTGCGAATAGTTGAATTTCACCAATTGGAGAGATAGCAACAAGTGATTCTGGAAAAATCATGGGCGATGTTACGGGACTAACCAATGCAGAAGCCGACGAGCTATGCAAAAAACAGGATGCCTCTACTAAGGTAAGATGGAATAAAATGAGTTCTTGGATTTGCAAATAATATTGGCATCAAATTTTCGACAGGACTTCCTGTTCCAGCAGACCATGTACCGCATCAAGGATCCACGCAAATCACTGCCCTTCTACACTGGTGTCTTGGGCATGACTTTGCTGGTGAAATTGGACTTTCCAGAGGCGAAATTCAGCTTGTACTTTATGGGGTATGTGCAATGAATGACGCTTGGCAATTATAACATCTGGCATTTATAACATCTGTTTGCACAGCTACGAAAACCCTGCCGATATACCCAAGGATCCCAAGGAACGTCGCAGCTGGGCGATGAGTCGCAAGGCCACCATTGAGTTGACTCAGTAAGTTTGACCTTTTGACCTGTCCAATATGGTTTATTGATTTTGTGTGTTTTTCTATTTATTGTATTATTACAGCAACTGGGGCACCGAAAGCGATCCAGATCAAAGCTATCACAACGGCAACAGCGATCCACGCGGTTTCGGCCACATCGGACTGATGGTGCCCGATGTCTATGCGGCTTGCAAACGGTTTGTCTGAGAATGAATAATATATGTATGTATATGTATTATTATTATTATATTTTTCCTGTGCAGCTTCGAGGAGCATGGCGTGGAGTTTGTCAAGAAACCCGACGATGGCCGCATGAAGGGCTTGGCCTTCATCAAGGATCCCGATGGCTATTGGATTGAGATTTTCAATGCCTATACAGTACCCAACTAGAAACTGAGATATGCGATCAATCATTCTCTTTTCCTGCCACTTCAAATTGTTACACAAATGGCAATTTTTTTCCACACACACATACACACATATATTTTGTTGTTTTTAAGAGATTAAAGTTAATTTTCGCAGGATACAAATCAAAAGCTGTATTTACTAATGGCGTGACAATTACCACAACAACAACAACATAGACTGTCTAGCCATTCATTCATAAAGCCAGCCGTATATGTACATATATGCATATATATATATATAATTGGCTCCTATGTCCTTAATTGATTGACATATAGCTGCCACTCTAATTATTATTTACAGCAGCTTGTGGAACGCTGGGACAGCCGGACAAAACTATTGTCAACAATGCAATACTGATGTGTGTTGCGTTTCCCTTTTGCAATTTTCACTTAGGCTGTCCGGCTCTAATATTGGTCAAACACGGGAGCGTATTATTTGCTCAGTGTCAAATGTGCTGGAAAAACTAACGGAGAAAAGCGTAGTTTTCACTCGACAGCGGCGGCTCAGTGCTTGTCGAATGCTTGGCGGCATCGTTTGAAAATCGCGACAAAAACTAATTTTAACTCAATATGGAAATTTCGGAGTCGAATATTGGCATATTTTATGTTAGCAAACTTCTGGCACTTGCCCCGTACTCGGCCAAAAAGAACTCGAAAGGTCAGCTAGAGATAACGCGCAGTTGGTTATTTTCCATATACTCGGTGTGCCTGTGCCTGATCATGGGTAGGTAGAGTACCCACTCGAGCAGTGCTACGATCTACCAACAATTTTTTGTTTTTGACTTATTTTTGGGATTAGTTTTCCTCACCTATCGTGGTCTGCTATTCGATGCTAATTCGAATATACCCGTGCGGTAAGTTATATAAGAACAAGATTCCAATTTATGTTTTATTTTTTTTTTTTAGATTTGCTTTATTTTTTTATTGGATTGAAACTTTCCATAAGTCGATTTGATAGTTCTCCTTAGTTGCTCTCAGCCGTGGGCGTCGCCGCTCGAGCGATGCGACCAACAGGCCTAAAGGCCTTATCATGCCCGGCTAGAGGCCATGGCGCAGATCGACAGCAGCAGCAGAATAATTGTGAAATTCATTTCGATTACGATCGACAGTGTTTGATTGATGTCACGCACTTGACATTCAGCGAATTTTAGAGGCAAGCTCTGAGCTGCGCCTTAGCTGGGCTACTTTTGCTTTCATTGTAGGGGTTTATATGTAACCCGATAGTTGGAGACATATTTATGTGACCTGGCTAAGTAATTACTTATGTATGTGTGCATTTAGTTTAGTTCACTTGATCGGTATTGATTGCTAAGGGGAATTCTATTCAGCACATAAAGTATGTACATATGTACATACATATGTATATATTTATATGTACATGCAAATTGTATATACATATGTATGTATGTATGTGTACTATGCTGCGCATATATTATATGATATCATAAACACACATAACTTTGCTAAAAATAAATCTACGAATTATATAAAAATATGTCGGGGAGCAAGCGAAATATATTATGTATATAGACATAGAATTTTTATGATTTTTCTATTCCATATGCTTGGGTTTCTCCTGTATTTCTAATTCTGAAATTCAATTATATGTAGATATAATTTTTTATTCATCTCACATAAATAATTTTATGTGCCTAAAATCGTATGTAGCAACATCATAGAGTTGTTTTGCTATCTTCGTTGCCTTGGCCTTGTTTAGCAATCAAACTCGCTCTCGATCTTTCTCTCTCTCTCTCTCTGAGTGAAAACGTTCGGATATGAGTCAGAAGCCTGCAACTCAAGCTCACACAGCTCTATAAAAGGTCTCAGCTTCTCACTAACAGCTACATACATACATATATCAACCTCACGATATCAGTGTGGCGTTATATTTTTATATCCACCCTTTCATTCCAAAATTTCTAAACAATGTATTGTTAATGCCAGCGTCTTAAGGCTATGTGTGTAGGTGTTGTTTCTTGTTTAAGCAGAACAGAAGCGACGAATTATTGATACATACATACATATATCAGTAGCTCGAACGGTTCAGGGGATCTCTTGATCGAAAAGTCTTAGCTAGAGCTTTCATCTTTGTTTATATTTGGTATCTATTTGAAAGTTCAACCGCTATGCTAAATATTAGTCAAACGTGTTTCAATTTATGAACTTCATGCTTCCAAGCTCTCCGAGCTAGATCTGCCACTACATACATATGTATAAAAGGCGCCCTCAACAGTCGGACAGCATCAAATCGATTTTGTCGAAACATTGAATGAAAAGGCTCTACCACTTACCAGTATCGCGCGAAAGAGCATTCAATTCAATATTGATACAATGTCAAATCAAATTGAATGAAACAATAAATATATTTTGATTGAATATTAATAAAAATATACAATTCTGGCAAAGTTCTAGACTATTATTGTCTTTATTTATTTAAATAAAATAAATTAAATAGATCATAAAATGCGCTTATATGATATGTACTCCGAGTATGCGAAAAGATTTGGACAGTTCTCTACAAAAGTCTAAAAAAAAGACAGGATTACTTTGATCATACTTCATCATCTTCATAAGTGGCTTAAGGCCCCTGTATGTGATGTCCCCCACGTAGACTGCAATCATGCCTGATTCGTGTGATCTTAAGTGTTGCTTCAATGCGTTTGAATGCATTTTAATTTGAATAAAATCCAACACATCAAAAGTGCATCTTTCAGAATGAAATCGGCCACCTCGAAGGTAGTGACTGCCTCGGACGTTTCGGTTGTGGTGCTGGCCATCGTAACTGGTGTCTACTGTGGCATGTTTGGCCTGCGTGCCACACAGGAGCTGAACACGCGTCTGGACAAGGTAAAGCTCTGATCGAACAATGGAATATTACCTAAACGCGATTCCATCACAGATCGACAGCACGCTGAGTCCCTACAACAATGTCAAGAAGGATCGCTGGCGCGCCTATGCCATGGCCACTGTGTCGCTCATCGTCATCGGCATTCTGCTTGGCCTGGACGTGGGCACCTGGGTGCGCATGGCCCAGGAAATGAACATTAGCGACGAGGACACAGGTGAGCTTTCAGTCGCTCTGTTCCCTTCCAGTATTTCAAGTCACCTCCCATTGCCAGAGCTCAACGTGCAGTGGTATATACCCTTCTATAGTCTCTACTTCATATTGACCGGGCTGCACATCAATTTCGCGAACACGGCTTACGGCCTGGCTAGGCGCTATAAGCGGCTCAATCAAATGCTGAGAACCAGCTATCTGAGTGGTAAGCATATAGCAAGATATAGCTAACAAATAATACCATATATTGGATATTAATATTAGCTCAATGGAAAAAATAGGTAAAATATGTAATTAAAATATAACGAAGGACAAGGAGTAGACAATGGGGAGTATAGAATAAAAGAGAAGAAAAAAGAGAATAGAAAGAATAGGAATAGAGAAGTAATGATAAGGTTAGAGCAAGAAGTGGAAAGAGAAGATAAGTAAGGAAGGAAGAAAAGGAAGGCAGAAAAGAGATAAACAAAAGAAGGAAAGGGCACAAAAGAGATGAGACGTAAAAGAAAGAGAAAGAGAGAAAGAGAGAGAGAGAGAGAAAGAAAGAATAAAGTTTAAAGAATAAAAAAAACAATGAGAAGGAAGGATCCATAAAAAAACTAATGAAAATAAAAGTAAAGTATTAGAAAACTGGAGAAGCTTAGAGAAGAGAGTAAGATGAAAAAGACATGAAGTATAAATAAAGGATTCCCTGAGAAATCGATCTAAATGTGGGTTCAAGTCCTTCAGTATTCATAATTATTAAAGGGAATTCTTTATTTACCTTGATAAGTTTTAGGATTAAACAAGAGATAAAGATTCTTTTGATTTGTAAATAAACTTCAATTTAAATCCATATATGTATATAGAGAGATACATATACATAGATATGTAGATAGAGCGATCGTAATCCACAATTTACACCTTAGCAGAACAAACTTATGGCAATGCCACAAATCTGGTCAGGGTGAGCGCTGTGAAGTCCATCAGCTTCAAGCCAATGATGCCAATGGCTCTGCACGCCAGCTTAACCAAGCTGAACACGGAGACCTTGCCTAACGAATCCGCCAGTAAGTAGCCATGCAAATGAGCAATAATCAGCAAATATATGGTCATAATTGCCCTACAGCCAAAAACAAAAGTTTGCTTATTCGAGCCATGGCCGACAATCACGAATCGCTGGGCAAATGCGTGCGTTTGCTCTCAAGGTGAGCGTTTGATCCATATCGGGAAAATGTGAGCTATACTATAAACTCTTGCAGATTCTATGGCATAGCCGTGCTGTTCATACTGGTGTCCTGTCTTCTGCACCTGGTTGCCACGGCCTACTTTCTGTTCCTGGAGATGCTCAATAAGCGGGACAACGGCTACGTCTGGGTGCAAATGCTCTGGATCATCTTTCACTTTCTGCGCCTGCTCATGGTCGTGGAGCCGTGCCATCTGGCGGCGCGCGAGGCCCGCAAGACCATTCAGATCGTATGCGAAATCGAGCGTAAGGTCTTCGAGCCCATCCTGGTCGAGGAGACCAAGAAGTTCTGGCAGCAGCTGCTCGTCGACGATGCCGAGTTCTCAGCCAGCGGACTCTGTCGCGTCAATCGAACGATTCTGACATCGGTAAGTGCTTAAGTAATCTTCCAAAATGATCAAGCGGAACTCTGAAACTTTCTTAATGCTAACTAATTTATTTGAATTCTGTATTCCTATTCAAATTTGCTTGCAGTTCGCTTCGGCTATCGCTACCTATTTGGTCATACTTATCCAATTTCAAAAGACCAACGGCTGAATCTGGCCATGAATTCATATTTTTAGTTATACAAAAGGTTGATTTTATTAACACTAAACGGAATTCTTAGCTGTGTTTAAGTCAATAAAGGAATAAACAATATTTTTGTTGTTGTGATTATTCCAAACCGAATTTCAATTGAACATTTAAGCAAACTTAGTTCCATGGCTACACTTAAACGCACATTATAATTAGATTTCATAATATTGTTTCAAACTATTGTAGTTGATTAAAAACTCGAGCGCCTTCAGCTCAGAAGCCCTTCTGGTACTGCTTCGTCTCCATGCGCTGCTGGAGCAGCTCCAACTGCCGCTTGGCCTCGCATTGTGGAAAGTTGTTCAGATCGTAGTACTGCGGCGCCAGACTGAGCAGCCATTCAGCTGTAATGCCAAAGAGAATATTTGAATGAATGTGAACTTGCTGTGGTTGCAGGTGCAGGATGAACTCACGCTTCACATCTGTCACGGTGCGTATGTAGTTTTTGGTGGTCAGCACAAATTCGTTGTAGATGACCCAGTCGGGTTTGTGGTCCAGGCAAGTTGACGGATGCAGCTGCACGTTCTGGTTGTCCTTGATGGTCAGATAGTGTCCCGTACGCTCCAGATGCGCGACCTGCATAAAGAAGCCCTGGACTAGAGCCTTGCGTATATTGACATAATAGTCCTTCGAGCTGAACTCTGTGCTGGTGCGCTTCAAATTGAAGCGATCCATGATGCGTGCCAGCTGCTGGCGCACATTGTCGGCGTTCTTGAGCGAGCGATAATTGATGAAGTTCTCATAGCACCAGTTCGGGTCCTCATTGCCTATGGAGAGAGTCGAGTTAAAGTCTATCGGAGTCGATTTGGGAGCACAGTCAGTCACACTTACTCTGCTTGAAGGCGTGAAAGACATTCAGCAGCGTTAGATGATCTCCGTCGATGTGAGCGAAACGCATCTTGGCCTCGTCAGCCACCTTCTTTGCCTCATTGGGTCGCACGAAACATTGTGGCACTTTGGTTGACGTTTGATGTTTGTTGAATTGGTTTGTTTTCGATTAAGCGCAAATTCAGAACATGTTTTCGTTTGTGTTTTACATAAACATATAGATTGTGCTTACATTTTGTCAGCTAGGCAATCTAGATATTTGATTCAAGGATTGATTGCATTTGTGAGTTGCAAGTGCGTTGGAGGAGGCCGCAAAGCGGACATTGTTTAAATTCAAGCAAATAGCTGAGCAAATGCCGCCGCATCACATTTCAATCAAATGTGCGAAGCAGATGGAACGCACGTGCAACTTTTCTTCAGTGTTGAATGCAAAGAACAAATAAATTGATAAACTTTTTTCTTTGCACGTTTTGGAATAACAGTAATTTGTCAGCGTTTGTCAGAGTCCTTGTCGCCAACAATCAAATGCCATTTGCACATGATGGCATTGCGCTCTAACTAAATGAAACCACATAAGACTAGAGCTATCTAATTTTCAATTTAAGAGACAACCCAGTGAAAAATCCCGCTTACGTCTATTCCAAACAGTCCCTCGATTTCTACATCTATGTATATCTATGCAACTTAATCAGTTTAGTTTGTTTCTCACCCGACAGCATGGCCGTAATTGAAAGTATCTCATTGGAGCAATTGTGCTGGCAACTGGCTATTAGCATCTTGGCCAATTGTGGATCGAGCGGAAACTCGGACATCACAGCGCCAAGATCCGTTAGATTGCCGTCGTCGTCCAGGGCGGCCAAATAGTTGAGCAGCTCCAAGGCGCGCATCAGAGTCTCGGGCGCCGGCGGGTCCATGAAATCAAAGTGCACCAGGTCATCAATGCCCAATTTCTTAAGCTGCAGCACCACAGTGCCTAGTTGACAATGGAAATAAAATAGATCAATGCAATTTTGAGAATATATGTGCATAAATTACCCAAATTTGAGCGCAATATCTCCGGGTAGGTGTTATCTTGCATTTCGTTCTTGAACGCCTTCTCTGTATATAGTCTAAAGCATTTGCCTGGCCGTGTTCGACCAGCACGGCCGGCACGCTGCTGTGCCGAGGCCTTCGATATGGGGGAGACGAGCAAACTCTCGACACGTATGCGCGGATTGTATACCTTTTGCTTGGCAAAGCCCGGATCGATCACAAAAACCACGCCATCAATGGTCAGCGAGGTTTCGGCAATGTTTGTGGATACGACCACTTTGCGGCCAATAGCACCTGAGGCATTTGGTGGCGGTGGCGGCTCAAAGATGCGCTGTTGTTGATTGGGCGGCAGAGTCGAGTAAAGGGGAATGCACTTCAGCTCGCCAATTTCGGAGCCCAAATTGTCAATCTCTCGCTTGATACGCTTGCAAGCCTCTTCGATCTCTTCCTGGCCCGTAAGAAACATAAGAATATCGCCTATGCAGGCAACAGGCAAAGATTAGCATATAGCATAGTGTGAGATGGAGAGAGAGAGTGAGTTTAGTTAAGACTTCTCTCTGCATACCTTCAATTTCCTCGCATATATGTATTTGTATAACTGTGCGAATAGCTGCCTCCAAATAGTCTCTCTCGGGCTCTGGTGTATAGAAAATCTCGACGGGATGCGTACGACCGGGGACGTTCATCAACGGCGCATTGTCAAAGTATTGCTGGAATTTGCCTGCATCGAGTGTGGCCGACATGACCACCAATTTGAGATCATTGCGCTGTCGAATAACCTCTTTTAGCACGCCCATCAGTATATCAGTGGCCAGTGTGCGCTCGTGCGCCTCGTCAAGCAATATGACTTGATATTGATCCAGCATCGGATCCGACATGGCTTCGCGCAGCAGCATACCGTCCGTCATATACTTGAGCAGGGTTTTGGGCGAAGAGCAATCCTCGAATCGAATGGAATAGCCGACTTCATCGCCAAGATTAACGTCCATTTCCTCAGAGACACGCTGGGCCACCGACATGGCGGCCACACGACGCGGCTGTGTACAGGCGACGCCTTTGCGTCCTTTGGACACAGCGAACTCCACACACCATTGCGGTATTTGTGTCGTTTTGCCAGAGCCCGTCTCACCCACCAACACAATACACTGATGCTGGCTAAGCAAGCGCATAAAGTCCGCCTGATATTCGAATACCGGCAATGTGATTCGCTTCTTGTACAAGTTTTGGTAGCGTGCGGAGTAAGGCTTCATTGTGAACGGATTCATAGTGGGTGGCTAACAAATGTAGATCCAGTGATATTAGAAATTCCGTTGTGGCTCGCATTAGAAGTACTTACTTGCTTACTGGGCACAAATCCACCCGTGACTTGGGCAACAGTGCCGGTGGATGACGCCGCTGCAGAAGAAGTTGAAGCTTCCGACTCCCTGCAAATGGCATAAGCATTGGTTCAACATGTGTTCTCACATATACTTACTTCTTGAGCTTGGTGGTGTATGTCTCGCCTACTTCAATACGTCGTTTCGACATCTTTGCTTGTTTTTAAAATACACAATTAATGGCAAAAACGTTCTGCACAAAAAAAACACGCGCTGAATAGCAACGTGAAAAGCGACAAATAATACGAGGGCTGACAGGTAGTATCAGTAGGTCAGTAATAAACTATCGATATTTGACGATTGTTTTAATAGATGAAACCACTGTTCAATACAATTTGTTATTGTATTATTTTTCCAAAAGTTCTGCCAGGTCTACTATAAGTTTATTATTTGTTGCATTAACGTTATTACGAAGGGCTTAATAATATTAATAAAATAATAAAAATCTTATTTTAGCCTAAACGATAATGTTGGTATCTGCTATATTGGTATTTTTATTGAATTTAAATAACATACCATAATTTGTTATCGATATGCTGTCTGCGTCTCGCATCGATAGTTGTTGTCAGTGCGCAGCAATATCGATTCAGCAGTATTTGCAATAATTTTTAAGATGCGCGAATTGTATACAAAAATGCAAAAATCAAAGTGAAAAACTGTTGCCAAAGCGACAATAAACAATGGAAATACCGATACAAGTGGCCGTACGCATATATCCCCACGCAGAACTTGAGCACAAGCCGGATTATAAAGCGCCGGACGATGGCGATGCAGAAGCAGACAAACCGCGATCGAAGCCGTCTTCCCCAAACCTGAACCCGCCTCTACCTCCACTTCCGTCACCATCGCAATTGATATTGCATACAACGGCAATAGATGCTAATGGCAATAATGAGTTGGACGCCAGTCAGTTGAATACAAATGAAGTGCCATCAGATATTGGCAATGCCAGTGGCTGCTGCGTGCAGGCCATACCAATCGCTGTCTCGGCGCTGGGGTTGCCGAGCGCACTGCCCGGTGGTGCGGCCCTTGACAGCATTGCGGCGGGTCTGATACAGGTGGGCGCTCACACTGTGCCTGTGACCCATGCGCTGCCCAGCAGCACCACACAGAGTCAGGTGTACCACCAGACAGTGTTTCCACTGATCAGCTTGTTTCTGGAGGGTTTCGATGCATCAGTGGTCACATATGGGCAACGCGGTACGGGAAAGACCTACACGCTCTATGGACATGGCTTCGAGTGTGTCTACGGCGAGGCGGATCAGGGCGTGGTACAGCGCTGCGTACGGGAGATTTTTACACACATTGCGGCGCACGCCGGTGAGTTGTTTGACAAATCGATATGGCAGGAGTTTTATTTAAACGCTTCATTTTTGTAGATCGCACATACGCCGTTAATGTTGGCTTTGTGGAGATATGCAATGGCGAAATCCGCGACTTGCTGGGCATGGGCAATGTCCACTGCACCACGGTGGAAGATGTTTTCCATTGGCTGCAGTTGGGTCTTAGCAACAAGCAGCAGTCACCCGCACACACACTCTTCACACTGACCCTGGAGCAGCAGTGGGTGTCCAAGGAGGGACTGATTCAGCACCGTCTCTCAACAGCTAGTTTCTCAGATCTGTGCGCCACCGAACGTTGGGGCGAGCCGCCACCAGGACATCCACGTGACGCTGGTTTACAGATGCTGGAACAGGTAGTCAACACACTGACTGATCCGAGCATTATGTACGGTGTCAATGGCAATATTCCCTACGGTCAAACCACTTTAACCACTCTGCTGAAGGACTCGTTCGGTGGTCGTGCTCAGACCTTAGTCATTCTGTGTGTGTCGCCACTGGAGCAGCATCTCAGCGAGACACTGGGCAATCTGCAGTTCGGCTTCAAGGTGCAATGCGTACGGAACTACGTCATTATGAATACTTTCTCCGATGACAATACTCCCATATCGCCAGAGGCATTGCCGCACGATCCAGCAGCAGCTGGCACAGCGGCTCTCATGGCGGCCGTGGCTATGCCCAACGGGGACAACTTCGGACTGCAATTTGCTGCCAGTCAGTGGTTCAAATTGGTGTCCAATGCAGAGGGACTTTTCGCCAAGTAAGTGAACTGAAAGAGTACCTTTTGGAAGTGATATTTATAATTGCCATGCACAGATTAATGAGCTCAAATGCTATAACGGAGGTGGAGAAGGAGCAAATTGAGGAGTGGCTGTTCTTAAAGCAAGAGTGCGAAGAATGTCTCAGTTCCAGCGAAGCATTGCGTAACCAAAAGCCGCTAGTGCCCATCCAGGAGGCGGAGGAGCCAGAGGAGTCTATCAGTGAGCCGGAAACCTCCTGCCAGCAAAATTCGGACAATGACACCGACAATGAGTCGCAGCGTCCAGACCTAGCTGAGAAGCTCGAAAGCCTCATGGATGAGTTTCGCACCAAAACGGATGCGCTCATTCAAGCCAAGCATGAGGAATTTATGCTGAAGCAGCCGAAAGCGGTTATGCAGAGCCAGGACAAAGATCGGGAGCAGACAGCCCAAGAGCCAGCGCCACAGCCTGAAAAGTGCGATGAGCGAAAGCTTAGCGTGGGAGGTAAGTATATTCCATACAGCTATAAATATGCATGTCTCTCATTCTGTCTCTCTCGTTGAATGGCCCTCAGGTCGTCGACGCAGCATACAACCCGGTGCTAGTTTGAGTAGTGCAGAGCTGGCCATGCTCAATCGTGTTGCCTCGCAGCAGACGACGGGCACTGAATTGCCAGCGGACTTCGATCCACTCAACAATGCTGCAAGCGCGACCGACGGACTGCGAAATGCGACTGGCGTGGCTAGCGCCAATGGTCCCGTCGAGCAACTGCAGAAGAAGATGCGAAAGCTGAATGCCGAGATCGAGGCTCGACAGCGACAGCTGAAGGAGATCGAGCAAACGATGCAGCTCAAGCAGAATATAATTAGTGAGCTGGTGAAGAACCGAGAGACGCGCAGTCATGCCAAGCAGCGCTTCAACAAGAAGAAGGCCAAGCTGGATGCGGAGTGCGATAAGGCCAAGAAGCATCTGGCCAAGGCACTGGTGCAAGGCAAGGATAAAGCGGAAATAGAACGGTGGCACGCTATTATAGCGCACATTGAGCAGCGCCTGCAGGATCTCAGCTCGATGAAGCACATTGCCGGCGAGAGTGGTCAAAAGCTAAAGAAACTGCAACAATCCGTTGCCGAGTCACGCAAACAAATCGAGGAGGTGCAAAAGAAGCTGAAGAAGGAGTGCAAACTGCGTGATCAGCTGGAGGCCGAGCTCAAGAGCTTAAAGGAGGCGACACTAGTCAAAATGGAACCAAATCCAGATCAGCTCAAGGCGGTGCAGGCTCGCATTACCCACTTGGATCACATACTGCGCGAGAAGTCTGAGAATCTGGAGCTTTGGGATGGCGGGGAAAAGTCCCCGGCACAACAGGAGAGTCTGCGCCATGAGATACGCAATCTGAGGCGAACGCGTGACCATTTACTGGAGCAGCGCTGCATGCTGGATCGCAAGCTCAAGCGGGACAAAATGTTAACGCAGCGCGAAGAGCGAAAGCTGCTCGAGTGCGACGAGGCCATCATGGCCATTGACGAGGCCATCGAGTTCAAGAACGAGCTCATTTGTGGTCACAAGTCCATCGACTTGTCCACCGAGCGCCAGCAGCGGGAGAAGGGTGAGCAGATGCTGATGGCGCGGCTCAACAAGCTCTCACCCGAGGAGATGCGCACGCTCCTCTACAAGTACTTCGTCAAGGTCATTGATTTGCGGGACTCGTCGCGAAAGCTTGAGCAACAGCTGGTGCAGTTGGAGCGCGAGCGTGATGCCTGGGAGTGGAAGGAGCGCGTGCTCTCCAATGCGGTGCGTCAGGCACGGCTGGAGGGCGAACGTAATGCGGTGCTGCTGCAGCGTCAGCACGAGACAAAGCTGACGCTAATGCTGCGTCATCTGGCGGCAGAGACCTCGGCCAGCTCAGCCAGCTATGGCGATCGTGCTCTCGCGCCTGCCACCAGCCAGGGCACGAGCAGTGAGTTTGACTACGATCTCGACTTCTACAAGTCGGCCGGCAATAAGGCAATGCTCAAGGCGCAACAGGCGAAACCCACGGCGGCTGGCCTGGATAAGTACAAGGACAAGGAGCGTAGCAGTGGACGCAACATCTTTGCCAAGTTCCAGGTGCTCACGCGTTATGCATCGGCGGCGGCTGCTGCAGCTGGCTCATCCTCGACGGCAGACGAGTCCACGGCGCTCATTGAGACGACAACCACGGCGGCAACCACTACCACCACCACGACCACAACGGCAACCACAAGCGCATCGGCCAAGGGCAAGGAGAAGGCCTTGGCCGCCATCAACCAGGATCAGCTGAAACGTCTGATGCCCGCACCGACATCCACAAAGGTGACGCGTCAGAAAAATAAGATCATAATACAAGATGCGACGCGCAAAAACTAAAAAAGAAGAACGTCGACGAATTTAGCTCTCTCTCCCTCTCTCTTTTCTCTGGAGCGTGAGAGAAGCACGCAATACAGGCAAATGTTAGCTGAGAGAACGGATGCAATGACTGGCGTCGGGAGGCACCTCTCCATCTCCCACTGCTCTTAATCTAGGCCCGACTTACTCAAAATACTCGAAATACTCAAAATGTACAACTATAATTTATAATGACAAGCTCAACCCGATATGGATAGATATATATGTACTGAACGAATACGTCCACAGACTTGTTTCAATAGACTTACCAAGGTATTCATCTACATCTAACTTCTGGCGCATTTAAATGTCAACAACAACCATAAGGATTCCTCGACTAGCAAATCTAAAGACTTGACAATTGTTACTTAAAAATACTCAAAACTCAGCAATCCCAAATGGAAAATGCAATTAACTCGCTCAAATTGTTTACTTAAGCGCTCGAATCTCTTGTTTTTATGTACATATCATATGAATATGTATTAATTTTAGTTATACAATTTGCATTTAAGTTAGCCTTATAAGTCGCAAATACTCTATTTTTGTTTTAAGTTCACTCATTTATTTTAACATATTTAAATGTCTTCCCGGAATTTGATTAGCCCTAGCCCTAGATATAAACAACTTTTCGTATTCCTTATCAATGCATTTACTCAGTTTCTCTTTAAGATCACTACATTTATGTTATAAATATATACTGTATATTATAATCAACGTTTCTCTAAATTACTCATGTTACAAGAATTTAGGTTGTGTTTAATTTTGTTTAAAATTACGGTGCAAGAAATATAAGAAGCTTGCATGTGCTTTATATCAAACTCATATTCCGAATAAAAATATTTTAACAAAAAAAAAAAAAATTGTTTTTGTAAAGTAATTCATCTGCTCTATATTTCCGCTGGATTTTCTCACAATTCAGTAATTAGTCAGCAGCAAAGTAAATAAACATAGCACAGCTTGTGCTCACATGTGCTGCTGACTAAGAATATATAAGAATAGATGCCATTTTTTGTACGCCCGCTTCAACACACTCACGCTAAAATGTTATAGTATAATATTTTACTATGTTCCCAACAATAACAAATCTGTAGTAGCACATTTCCCCGCTGCCAACAGTCATAACAAAATATCAACAGGTGTCCCCTGCAAAATATCCCAGAGAATTTCCCAAACAAATGCCCCTTCACACACACACTGACAGCGAGCGGCAAGAGAGTGCCAAACCAAAATGGCCGGTCGGTCCAGAGCAACTGTCAGACAGAGAGGCAATTCAGTCTGGTTTGGATTGTCGAACGTTAACCGTCGAACGTATTGAAGTCGGAATTTACGTCTGCGTTATCAGAGTGCGCCTGTGTGTGTGCATTGTTTAGGCTACGGTTACGGTACGGTCGGTACTCGCACCCCCGCAAACCGGTTCGCCTGGTGGTGGTTCTAACGTTTTACGCGCTTCGGCTGTGTGCGAGCGTGAATTGTGAATACCGCAAATTCAAGTTAAAATAAAATGCAAAAGCAATAAATAATTACAACCAGCCGAGTGTCAAAAGCAGAGCACAGCGCCAAATAAAACGGCCAGCGTGCGTGTGCGTGTGTGTTGGTTTGGAGTGCGAGTGTGTTTGTTGTGCAGCATTTATTGTGCAGAGTCGTCACCCCAGTGGATTAGTGGCACCCTGTTACAATTTGCTCACACTACCACTCAGTGAGTGCTAGTGAGTGTTTTTGTGCACATTCCACATTAACTAACATCAGAAGTCAGCGCAATTCATCAATTCATCAGTTCGGTAGGTGACAACAAACAGTTCAATGTATTTTTCGCATCTGTCTGGCAACATCTTCTTTTGTCTGCTGTTGTTGCTGTAATTCCTATCCACGCCCACACATGCACAGCGATGCCAACACCCACAACACCCAAGGAGCCCCAGTCTGCAGTCAGTGATGATAAGATAAGCTGTGCATCATTGGGGCCAGATGAATTTGTTGATTTTGGCTCAGCTTCCTATTGATTTTTCGCCAAAAAACTAAAGTTTTCGCTTTAGCGAATCAACTTTGTTAACTTCCACATACACACGCACACACACACACAGACAAAAGGGTGTGTGCGGACATAGAGCCGCTGCCTAGAATTTGCCGTGCGCTTTTTGCAGCCGCTCTGAAAGGCCTTCAAACTGCTGAAAGTTTGGAAGCATTGTTGGATTTATACATTTTCATGTTTTCTGTTAAATTCTAGAATAATTCTAGCATTTGTTGCGAATATTTTCATTTAGCATTTGCCATTTTTCGAAGTTCCTTTTCTGCATTGCTTGGTGAATTTTTCTAGCGCATGCGCTCTACGCCTCACACAGTTGCGAAAGCAACTCTGATTTGTGTGCATGTGTGTGTGTGCAACCTGCCTAAGCTGCCTTTGTCTGTGTCAGGTAGTTTTTCCCTTGCCAGGCAGCTAGCCAGGCAGGCTTTGGGTCCATGGGCTCAGTACACTTTGTCTTGAAGCATCTCTTTTAAAATCCTCTGAAATTTCCATGTGGCACACATACGCAGGCCTCATTGTGCACATGTGTGCGAGTGTGCGTGTGCGTGCGTTTGTGTGAGAGCAACCCCTGCTAAGTAACGCACTCATCCCAAGTCCCGGCTGAAACCCGTGCAGCTGTCGTAGTTTCCTTTATTTGATTTTGCAAGTGTTGCGCGTTGTTGTTGCCTCTGCCGTTGCCTCTGCCGTTGCCTCTGCCGTTGCCTCTGCCTTTGCCTTTGCCTTGGTCCCACGTCTCAACTGTCTGTCTGCAGGTCCTTTCTCTTTTTTTAGTTCTGTGCATTTGTCCTGTTGCTAGGCGGAGTATTTTTTTCGGCTCTGCAGACATGCTCTTTGATTTAAAGACATATCGATTTTTAAGCATCTTCAACTTGTTGGCGAACTCATGCCCCGGCTAGGGTGAACCAAAGCATATATTTGGCTCACTCTGAAGCCTGCACCAGTCCAAGCATATAGCAAATATTGATTGTGGCTAAAATGAGCAATGCGCTAAGCAAATAATTAAACAAAAGTTTCCTGGCTGCTGCAGTCGGACACGGACAAAGTGCACTTGAATCCCAATTAGGCGCCGCAAGCAGCGTCCAATGGGTCACTGAACATGCAGCATGCGGACGAGCTGGACAATGGACGCTACTTTCCGGTTCTTTTTTTTTCAGTTTGCTTGTTTTTCTTCTCTTTATTTTTTTGGCTGCCGATGACGAACACTGCGAATTGACCCTGCATTGGGCCAGTGCACTTTGTGTAGCTGCCATTCGTCCCCTCTTGAATTTGATGTACGAAAATGGAAAACATTGCAAAAATTTATTGGGCCGACACCCTAATGCAGCCAGACAGACTTTTTGTTTTATGTTTTTTAGCTGCCAACCGAACGGAAAACGAGCAACAAGAATGAGTAATAAAATTTGTGATTCGTTGATTTTACCACGCGATTGAGCGGCACAGCCGGATCTGATCACACTTAATTGAGGTCCTCAATTTCTTTGTTCAATTGACAGCAAATTTTGTTATTAATATTATTTTTTCGCTGACTAAATAAAATTCTTTAATTTTTTATATTAAATTAAAAGCTGTTGAAAGTCTTATTTTTCTTATAGCAGATTTCTTATATATTACCATTTATTTTTATTTACTGTCGATCACTATATAATAATATATAGTAATTATACGTTTAGAATTCTTAGTCTGGGAATTGTGAAATCAAGAAATAATTTTTATTTTTATTTTTATCTTTTATAATCTGTTATTTTTAAAGAATTAGCTTGTTTAATCATCCATATAAATTGCGCATAAAAATCGAGTTTTATATTACTCATTTATAGGCTATATATATAGAAATAATTTTTATTTTTATTTTCATCTTTAAGAATCTGTTATTTTAATAGAATTAGTTTGTTTAATCATCCATATAAAATCGACTTTTATATTACTCATTTATAGGCTATATATACATACATACATATGTATTAATATATAGTTTTTTTTTCGGAGCCCATAAACGTATTAGCATCTTCTATATCTATCTCTCCCTCACTCCCACTCTCTAACTTACTAGCTCTCTCTCACTCTCTCTTTCCCTATCTCTCTTTCTCTGTCTATCTATATATCTCCCGCCTCTTTCTCTCTCTATGATGTAATTTATTGCTATATATGCCTAAAATTTTCTTGTTTATGCTATAAATACGCTATTAAGGCTACACAAATTTTTGCAAATTATTTATGAAATTTTGAGTTTAATAGTGAACAATAAAGAATAAAGAACAAAAATATAGCTAAGTTATATATGGGATCGCAAATGCTTATGGCTGTGGTGTTGACCGATTACCAGATGTTTTTCAAATTGATGCGCGCAATTTGCGGCATATGTTTAATTATAGTAATTCGCAGCTGAATCGTGTAGAAGGAAAATGTGAAGAATAGAGGCTGCTTTGCATACATACATATTATATATGTACATATATATAATATATAGAGACTGCGTAGCAAAAGCATTAATTCAAAACTCTAATCAGATGAACAATTGTGAGCTGTGAAATTATATGAAATTGTTGTTTACTTTTCTTTCCTCTGTTCCACCCCAAAGTCGAGTGCGCAGCTGCGCAGCTAGTACGTCGTAGGCCAAGAGGAAAACTTGTGAATGGGGTTTGCGTTTACCCTCGTCCAAAGTTCATTAAACCTATTTGAAAGCTAACACTCGACAGGGTGTCTCTGGCCGATCCTCCCTTTATGGCTGGCCACGTGCCGACTTTGGCTGCTGCTGCGCATGCGTCGCTCAATCCCTCCTCAAATAGTAAAATTCATTAGATAGCCATAAAAAAACAGAGAACATTGCTAAGAAAAATCATAAAGAACTTTGAGTATTTTGGTTGCCAGGGTACACTGCACTCAAGTTTTAATTAAGTGCTAAAAAGCAAACAAATTGTCTATCAAATTCATTTATATAGAAACTTCTACGATTAGCCAAAGACACATGCCAAGATGGACAGACTGGCGGGGACTGGCTGAGGGTCAGGCGGATGGACAGACTCCATGTGGATATCCATGTCCATGAGCCGTGTCTATGGCAAGTTCATAAGCGACATATGTCACAGCCAGACAGACCAAAGAAATTGATAGACATATACATACATACCCATACAACTACGTATTTGTATAGATATATTTATGTATGTGTGAAATCGTGACTTCCTGCTAGTCTTAGTTTTTTTTCTCTCGTCTTTAAAGCACGCCAATGTCTGGCTGTGTGGGGGAGGAACGTTTGCTACTTTATGGCTGACAGCAGGCACAAGACGACATCGAAGTGGATTTTCTATTGCCCCATTGCTGCCCATTTGCCCATTTGAGGTTTAATTAATGACATCCACATCGACAGTAGTTGCCTTCCACTCTGGAACTGGGCATTCCAGTTCTCAAATGAAATGTGTAACGAACTCGGAAAATCTGAATTTATGGTTTTGGTTTTGATAAAGGCATATATTTAATGAAAATAGAATAATGGTCTGTAAAGTTTATGAAGTGGTACTGTAGGAGTTTTCTCAATAGATTTATAATCGAAAAACTAACTTTCTTAAGTTATGCTCAAAGCTTCAATTTGATTAAAAAGTAGGCTTTAATTAATATATTCAACTCTATAATATATTCAACTTTGCTCTGTATTGATATAGTCTAGGCTGCCGTGAGAGAAAAAGAAATTAAATACAAAATCAAATGATTTGCAGGCTCTGTATGGAAACGTGGATAACTTCACTTCTATACTATAACTTTACTTCAAATAATATTATTCATATATTATTAATATTTTTTGAATACTAATAATAATGTATAAATTTGAATGTTCATTGTGAATTTTTTGTATAAATAATATTTATATATTTTATTTTTAATATTTACAAATATTTATATACAAATTTTATTTGTATGTTTATAATTATTAATAGATATATTTTTTTTTATTTGTATTTATTTATTTTTATAATTAATATTTATTAAGTATATATTTTATTATATATATATATTTATTTTTTTATTTGTAAGTTTATATTTATTTTTTATATATATTTTATTTTTATTTGTATTAATAATTAATATTTATTAAATATATATTTTTAAATTTGTAAGTCATATTAAATTTAATTTATCCAATACGTTAATAAAATATATAAATTCATATTTTAGAGTATTGACTATTCCACACAACTCTTAGCCAGTTTACTCCATTGTCTGTGTGTGCTTCCCTTTTCCTGTATGCATAGTTTTGCTGATAGTTTGTATAGCTTTATAAATAGTTGGCGTTGTCGCAAGTCTGCGGGTCTAATTCGACTATCATATGTGGCAGCTGTGGACAAATTGTTGGCACGTTTCAGTTTGATGGATTTACATATACATAGATGCGGGCGATGTGTTGTGGCGATGAAAGACAAAGCAGAGCTTAGTACAGTTTATAGTTGAAGAGATTTAAGCTTATGTTGATAAAAGATATAAAAGAACAACTTCAAAATTCAAAACTGAGCTCAATGAAAATGGAGGATTATTAAAAATAAGAGTTAGGGGAAATACTTTGGTACTAGTATTAGTAGAGAATTAGTAATTATAATTAAACTAATTTAAAAAATATATAATAATAAAATGGTTTTAAAATATAATATTCTAAAAATTATAATATTTAACTTTTATCTATTTTTATTAAATTTGTTGAATAATTAATTAATTAATTTGAAATTAAAATAATATATTGTGAATCCTTTAAACTGTCTACTAACTAAACAAATTTTAATAAATATATTTTAGCAAAAATAATATTTCTATTTTATATATCTTAAAATATTAGTAATAATTTTAGTATTATTATAATATTATTTAAAATAAAAATTATTATTATAATAATATTATAATCATACAAAATCTGAAAGCAAAACATATATGTATAAATTCATTATTGTTGACCAATTACTTAATTACTAATTCTAATATTTAAATTATAAACATTCCCACATTCTTCTCGCAGCATTTAATATTGTTTAAACAACTTGACTTGAGTTTACAAATCAAATAAGTTTTAAGGGTCTCACACACACATAGACACACTTTGATTGATAGACAGCCACGCCTATTTGCGCCACTTTCAGCTTTATTATTTAACACTGTGCTACACAATTCGCAAAGCAAATTTTGCACCTTCAGCAGGTAGTTGGCTGGGGGTGGGACTTTATTTACTAAAGGGTTGCCATTCGAGGGTTGTTGTGTTTTCCTAATCAAATTACTTGCATTTCATTAGCATTGGGTAAGGTCTCATTGCTGTTGTTGTTGTTGTTGGCACTTAAAATCGATAGATATATGCAAGTGAAAAGTAATTAATTTATATGTATATATACATATCTAAAAAGCAACGTCTTTTTTACTTTTACCATATCCATCATATAAGACGTGAAATATCTAAACTAATCCTAACCCTCACAATATTTTCCTTCTGCCATTGCAGCAGCTGAGTCACCGGGCGTCTACAGCTAAATAACCGCGTGTGTTCACATCCAAAAGGGTGTTTTGTGTTTTTCGCATAAAATCGATACAACCCCAAGCCGGAAAACTCATAACCCAGACGAGACTACAGAGACGGCCTACATCATGATGATGATGATGATGATGCCCAACGAATGCCACAAATGGCTAACGCTGTTCGCAGCTGTTGCTCTACTTGGTGAGTAATTTATAAATTTCATTAGATTTTCTATTTTACGATATTAGTTTTCGGCGGAAAATGCTATGCTTTCATGGCACTTGAGAAAATATCACGAAGCATACCATGCGTCAATCCGGAAAACTTTGAAATTTGTCAGAAAAGTTTCCCACGGTTTTTGAGTCTTTAAAATAGAAGCAACAAATTAGTATAGAATTAGTCTTTTACTAAACTTTTGTTTAACTGCAACAATCTCTTCTTCTCGCCATCTCTCTTTCTCGCTCTCCGATTCTCTCCGATCTCTTTATAAATAGAATTTTGTAAAAACAAATAGTCAACGCGGCTACATTTTGATCATTTCAAAATTGTGCAATGTTTCTTTTTGTTTCTTTTTCTTTACATTCCCGACTCTGTTTACTCCATTTACATTTCAACTTTTACTTCTGGCTGCGCTTTTATCTTATTGACACAAAAACTCTGCTAAATGCTCTACGAAAGTCTGCTGTACTTAGATAAGAATTATGCTTAGCATTCGAGTTGTGTTTGACTGCAGCAAATGTGCTTCAACTGTTTGCCTTCAGTTGTAAGTGTGCCGTATGCTTGATGAATGCATTCTTAGAGATAGTATATGCCTCGTAAATGTGTAACAATGGGTATATGAGTTGTATGTATGCATATGTTGTGGACATTAGTTCAAGTATGTCATATAAAAAGCTGATATACTTAATATATCAATCATATGTAAAAATAATTTTTACTATAAGAGTAAAGCTCATGCCTGCGCAGCTTGCAGGGTATATGCTAGTCGGGCACTCCCTACTAGAATACTCGAGCCCAGTCTATACTCTTCGAGGTTTTTTCGAATATGCAGAACCATTTTCAGCATACTTTATTATATTATTAGGCCATGCTTTTATCTATAACGATTCATTGACTCCCTGTGCTGGGAATGAAAGTTTTCTTTGGTATAAGAATGAATGCTACAGTGCCTGTTACAAGCGAACAACTTAAATGGAACAGACTGGGTGAAGTGCACCACATTGAGTTGTTCAGCATTAAATGAACATGATTATGTGCGTAGCTGTGTAGAAATATGAGTAAGGAAATCGTATATATGTATATAATCTACTATCAGTTGATAGAAGGTATATGTATTTCGCAGATGTATAAATTTCGCATATAAAGAATTATTGTACACAAATGGCAACAGTTTCAGGGGAAAACATTTAACCTCTTCCGATATCGTTCAAAAATCAATTTGATTGTTCAAAGGCCACGAGATAGTTAGAAAAGAAAAACTCTCACTGCTTTTATAAAAAGATATGAGAGTTGTATTTTATATAAGTATAAATAAAATAAATGTATATATATTTGTGTATATGTGTATATTATTTAAGAGAAAGTATGACCCCATACAACTTCTAGGTTATATATTTATAATTTGCCCATGTTACACGTGTCGTATGCGCAATTTCGTTGTTGCTTTTCTTCAACTGTAAATAGAAGATTTGGAGCAAGCCCCTTGAAGCCGCATTCGCAGAGGCAGCTAAATATAAATGGACACAAAAAGCAACGGCGCACGAACATGTACAAGAATGAAATAAATGAATTTTTGTTTGCGAATAAAAAAATTAAAAATTCAATTACGTAATTTCGCATACTCACAATTGAAAGCAATCAAATGAAATCGAAACCAGTTTAGAATAGAATGCAAATGGAAGAGAGAAGAGTAATTGAAGTATGTGTATGTAAAAAAAGTCAGACTTTTGAATGGATCAAGAATGCCTTATATACATATTACTTAACTAAGGTTGACAGATGACAATGGATAGATGAATATAGAGGTATAATATAAATACATATATGACCAAGAAATGCTTTTCTATTGCCTTTAGTAAATTCCATACTTAACACAGGGTATATACAATAAAAGACTATTTATAATATATGTAGAATATGATATATCTTCATTTCTATTGGTTCAAAGGCAGCGGCACACGAGCAATTCTCAGATACAGATACAGAATGCCAAGCAGAAGATACAATGCCAAAGTTGATTTTATTCTTTATTTCTTGCTCTCGAACGGCTGGCGCGCATCTTGCGCTGATTGTGCGGGTCATCATTCAATTGAAATTGATTAAAAACATTTTGCGCCAATTTTCCCTGCCCATAACTGAATACAGACAACAACAAAAAATGTAAACAAGCTTTTATCCCACACACACACACACACACTCACACAGATAGCTCAACATAATGTAAGCTAAAATGCATCTTTTATTTTCGCTGGCAGCAGCAACGCATTTAATTCGCATTTAATTCAATTGGTTTGAAATTCAACACACTGAGATAATGCGCTGCAGCAGCGAATCGCTGTATCTACAGGAAGCGAACAATTGAATACAGCTCGAGTAACATTTATAGAAACACAAGCATAATAATAATAATAATAATAATAATACATGCCAACTACATTTTATGGATATAAATCGACAGTCTGGACTGCTGGAATGTTGAGGCTAGAAACGGAATGTCCCAGTTGAAATAACTTTGTTTTGATAGAACTTTGAATGGATGGGAAAGATCTCTTAAGTAAATTCAGCGAGAATTCTTATCTAATACTTGAAAAGTTTCAGCTTGTTAGAATCAGAAGAAAAGTCTTTTAAATTGTTTGTATGCTTATGAAGCTTTTCTCTTTTAAAGGTCTCTTTTCCCAGTGGGTATTAAAAGCTCGTTAACCAAAATATATTTCTACTAAAGTACTTAGCTGATTTGTTTTTAAAGTCATTTAAGTTAACGGTTTAAGAACTCTTTTTTGGTTATGTCTTTACTTAGCGAGTAACTATGTTCAATGCTTCTATAAGTTTCACAGATGTATTATACTTAGAGTGTCATATCATTCAGCTTCTGTCATGTAGTCTCATATCTATAGTTTTGGGCAAATGTTTGTTAGAAGAGCTGGGCTATGCAATATGAGCATTTCAATCATTCATATGATTATATTTTCTATTTCGTGTGCAATAGATAGATAGATTTAATATTTGTACATGAATTCAGTCTTTGGTATTGATGTACCATCCATTGAGTCTCGCAGCATTCAGCTTTTGTCATGCATCTCACTTAACTCAATCTTCAAGTATTCTTTTTGTAACCTTCCTAGAATAGTTGGCCTACAGTTTCATAATCATTCATAAGCCTTTACCTTTAATTTAGCGAGCAATTACATTTAAAATAACAACATTCCCATGAATTTCCTAGATGTACCATACTTAGAGTGCCATATCATTCAGCTTTTGTCTTGTAGTCTCATATCTATATAGTTTTGGGCAAATGTTTGCTAGCAGAGCTGAACTATGAACTGAACTGAAATAATGTGATTATGTTTTACAGTTTGTGAACAACTATGATACTTGTCTTACACAAGTTTCATGGTTTCAGTTTTTGGTATTGATGTACCTCCCATCGAGTCTCGTAGCACTGAGCTTTTGTCATGCTGCTGCCTTTAGTCAAGTTTTAAGCTTTGTTTTCACATTCACTGAAAGAGCTGGCCTACAGTTTCATAGTCATTCATAAGGCAATGTCTTTTATGTAGTGAGCAATTATGTTCAATATTTCCACAAGTTTACAAGATGTACCATACATCGAGTGTCATATCATTCAGCTTCTGTCATGCAGTCTCATAACAGTTTGCTGTCGCCATACTTTCGCAAGATAGCCCTGATCTGAAAACTTGTACAGGTCTGTAAATCATATGATTATGCTGTCTACTTCACGTGCAATGATGATCAAGCATACAAGCTTAATGGTGTTCAGTCTTTGGCATTGATGTACCTTCAATCGAGTTTCATAGCATTCAGCTTTTGTCATGCAGCTGCTGTAACTCAAGTTTCAAGTTTCGTTATTAAGCTAGTTACTAGATTAGTATCATATATGTATGGCTATTATCTAGAAAAATAAGAAACAACTATTTAGCTCTGCCTTTTGCCAATGGCTCTTGCTACACATTACGTCAGGCTGTGCGCTCATGAATTGTCTCGATTGAAATGACAGGCCTCAAGTGAGAGATGAGAACGAGATGATGTTCAACACACGCACACGCACACTCGCACTCACACCAGCACGCACAGAGATCAGATCAGTGAACCGAGCTGCCAAAATAAAAGCCATTTCCGTTATACACACACACACACGCGCGGAGGAGAAAAGGAAAAAGAAAGCAGCGGGGATCGAAGAGAGACGCGTATAATTACAAATGATTGATGTGCACTAGCCAAGGCAGGGAGATTCGTAGCCTCGCAGCCTGCTCCCTATCTGGAGAAGAACAGAAGCCGACGATGGAGGCATATCACACGCGGCGCTTGTCCAAACAATACGAGAAGAGACGTGAAGAGCTGGGAGGAGCTAAGAAGAGCAGGCACTTGAAATATAGAAGAGCAGCAGCTGCTGCTGCATAGAAACTCAATTCCACATATGTATACATACATATATGTATGTGCATTCTATACATGATTTATTTTTAATGGTTCTCTCGAAACGTCTCTCTCTCTCTCTCTCTCTCTCTGTCTCTCTGTGCATGCTTTCCGTTTATTATTAGTTATTATGCTTGCGCCAAAGTGCAGGAAAATTGTCGACACAGCCGCAGGAATGTCTGCCAGCGACTGTCTGCCAGCGACTGTCTGCCAGCGCCTTTGTTTGGGGCTGTTTGGGGCTGGATTCGCTGGAGCGCTGAGACACAATCATGCAGCGGCACTTTAATGGCTAAAGTTTGATGTTATTATGCGGAGTTCGCCGAGTTTTGTGCTGTGTAATATTGGAAAATCAGTTTGCTTGTCTGCCGCTCAGGCGTGCCTTACAAATCCTCCAAAGCTGCGACATCAAAGAGTCAATGTCTGCGCCATTTAAAGCATTTGTCATACATATTTCGCCTAAGCTCATTAGGCATTTCTATAGCCAACCCAGATATGTCTTGGACACATTTACAAACACATATGTAGCATATATTGAAAGCAGTCGGCAGCCG